TAGAAAGGAAACTTGTGTACTCAAGTTTCTTTGACAGGTGAAAATCCTTGATTGTTAATTATTATATGTTTAAGATGATAATTAATAGATGCAAATAAAGATGACTCATTTATGTCACTTATTGGTGATGCTGGCTGCTGTGCACTACCAACGGTGAGTGTTATTTATATTCTAGGTAGTCAGAGTTGTAATGCATTCTGGGGGCTAGGAGACAAATTACAACTGTAAACGAGTCTGCTAACATATATCATTATATCAAATGCATCATGGGTAATTTTCAACTGTTTTGGTCTTTAAACWGTCTTTCTGTACATCTGCTTATTTATGTCTTTACTATCATGTTGGAGCAAAAACCGGCTAACAAATGCTTTATCGTGACGTTTCAGTTGCCCAATTCAATGATATATTTTTATTTGGCAACCATAATTTTCGCATATAGCTGTATGTATAACGAGTTATTATATTTAGTTGAAATATTCCCTCTCCAAACAAGCAGAGTTTAATAAGGGCATCCTTCAATATTAAAGCTCCTTTTCATTAGTTGCTGGCCAAATAGAAGAAATACATTTCAAATTGTATCCCTCAATTTCCATATTTCTTCTAGATGAAGAACAATTGCTAATTGAGAGCTTGATGATGAACCTTGTATTGAGCAAAAAAAGGGGGTACTAGACCAGTTGAGAAATGGACTAAAGACCCTCAACCTATTGGACGAAATCATACACAATCCATCTGATATCGACTCCACAAAAGTGCTTGAGTGTATGATGGTGTTGATGATTGAAGACTATCGAATACAATATGTTAATGACTGCTAAAAACAATGTACAGTATGTCATAATTCTACAAAAAGTCCACAATTTGAAAAGAAATGGCAAGGGTTCAGAGCCTAGGTTATCCCTTTAATATCAAACCTACATAATCCATTATGATTGGCTGACGAAAGGTGAAACTTTTCTTACTTTGTRCTATTTATTAAATACCACGCATGCTATTTAGTAAATAAACCCATTCTGGCTGCTGGGATATTGGCTGATGTCCGATGATGAGAAATGGTCCGAAAAATGAACATTTGGCCGAGAAACGAAAGTTCGAGGGCAAATGTGATATTATTACATTATTATTATTACATTATCCAATTCTTGTCTAACATTAATTATAGCAAACATGTTAACATTGAAAACTTGGAAGTTTTGATGTACCTCTTACTTTTGTTGATTATGCGATGCATTTCACAAAGAAGCCGAACCCTGATTTTATACCAGTCCAGATCGTTCTTGAGTCGAGTTAAGTAAACATTTATCATTTAAAATCATTTATCCAATCACAGAGCAAGATATTTATGGATGTTGGTAAGGCTCTAATTCCAAAGTTCATTTTGAAGTTCGCTGTAATCGCTTGTAGCGGCTTGAAAATAATGTATACTAATMATCAAAATATCAYGCCAAAAACGCTTCAAAATGCTGTGAACCCTASTCTTTATGCGGGTCAGTATTCAAGTCCTGCCGGGTATASTGCTCAGTCTCAGTGGTTCAGTGGTGCTCATARMACACAWCCGCAATWWTMWWCAWCAYMAMMASCAYYAYYASCA